TACTTAAAACACAGATTAGGAAGGAAGAAAAATACACGAGGCTAAGAATTATAAGCATAGGAGTAAGAGAATTAGGGTACAGTCATTACGAATTTTTTTCTTTTTATAATCCTGAAATTTTAGAAGCCATTATAAATTTTATAGTCATGAAAGAAGTGCTTAAGAAAGGTTCTATTAACCTCCAAGTCTATCCCACACAATAAAAACCACTCTCTTTAATCTTCCAAGTATTACAGAGTGCCTAACACCGAACAATTGAAGTTTACAGGCAAAAATGCAGACAAGAAAATGAAATACTATAAAGCTTTTTAATAAAATATCAAACTGCAACATAGGACTACTGCACCTTTTCCTTTTTAAACAATGCGAAAAACTGGGAGTGGTGGCTCAGGCCTGTAATCCTAGCACTTTAGGAGGTGGAGGATCACTTGAGGCTAGGAGTTCAGACCAGCCTGGGCAAGACCTCATCTCCACAAAAAATAGAAAAATTAGCAGGGTGTGGTGGCACAGCCTGTTGTCCCAGCTACTCTGGAAGCTGAGGCAGGAGGATCACTTGAGCCTGAGAGTTGGAGGTTGCAGTGAAACTGTGATCATGCCACTGCACACCAGTCTGGGCAACACAGTGAGACTGTCTCAAAAAATAAATGAATGAATGAATGAAAGAAAGGAAAAGAAAAAATGTGAAAAAAAAACTGCTAGCTGTGTTTTTAACAATATGGCATTCCAAAAACTTATGTTGCTGCCAGCTCATTTGATTTTAAATGTCTGGTCCTTTAGGAATATACAGTTGATGTTGCAAGTCACTTAACCACTATGGGCCTCAATTTCTTCACACATAAAGTAAGAGGGTTAGTCTGTCTCATTTCTATGATTTCCCTTCGAGTTATATAATTTGCTTTAACTCACATTTCAATAACAGGAAATACATATTTTTTGGGGGGTGGGAAATATCAAGTGTGGGATATTCAAAAGTCTCTAATTTATAAGGTCAGTTTAATAAGAGGAAAGAAAATAGATTTGCTTTAG